TCTCAAATGTTATTATTATTACATACACCTTTATTAAAAATATAAAAGATTTATATTGCAGCTTATCGACCTTTTGATGGTACATGATTGGAATTTGGGTAGTAAGCAAAATGGAGGTAAGTGAGGTCGTCTCAAAAGTTATTTCCCCATTTTCACAAAGGAGTTTTGTAGATTCTGTGCCATATTTTCCTCGCCGTATAGCCGATATTGACCAATTTGCTAATCGTATTCTCAGCTATGGAGCCGAATTGGATTCTGATCATCCCTTAAGTAAGCACCTCCTTTGCGAAAGAAGTGCGAAAGGGAGATTAGTTGTGACAAACAAAGTATGGGATTCTGAGTGAATTTGCTATCTTGTCAAACTATTGGGTTGGAAAGGGATTTTTTCGCAACAGTTTCAAAAATTCGTAGCTCGCATTTCAACAAAGTTTATATTTCGTTTTTGTTTAGAACCGTAATTCTTAATTTTCATGAAAATTTCCTAATCTTTCGAATGTTTACGTATTGCATAGAAATAAACGGAAGAAGATCACTGAAATTCTGATTTTGTGTGTGGTCGTAAAAAATCTGAAACTTGAATTGAAAATGAATAAAAATGAAACAGTGGGTATAACAGGATTTGTAAAATTTTCTTTCCAACATTGCAGAGGCTTGAGCTAATTGCCTGTATCAAAAGTTGTATTTTTTGAGCAAGTTTTTTGAGCAAGCAGTACAAAATTAGCTCATGGCATTTGTCTTGGAAATGATAAACTTCTCATAAAACGCGCAGTCGGCCCAAACTCACAGTCAGAACAGAAAGAGCAAACAAGGTATTTTCTTATACATGGGTCTTTTATGCTTTTCGTGGAAGTTCTATTTTCACGTGCAACTAAAAAATCGAAATTTTGCCAACTTTCTACCTTTATTGGGTCGGTCCAAAAGTAATGTACGTTTTTCAAATGAACGCCACACCTCGGCGAACAAAGATTTCTAAATGATCTTGGCAGCGTTCGATGCATCATTTCATCCTCTTTCTAATGGTCTCAGTGCAGCACAGTCAACGAGCGGGAAATTCTCAAAGTCTGCGACTCATGCTTTTTGCCGTGGTCAAGTTTCGCTATTTTTCAAAACTTTCGAAGCGATCCCCCGAAGAATTCAAGTGGTTGGTTTTTGGATAGAGCTATCCCCGCAGAACACAAATAATTCTTTTCTTTTACTTAGCTTGCTTCTAAAAATTTTTAAAATCATTTTTTTAATGCTACCGAATTCCACATTTATTCATCTCAAACCTCGTAGAAGAACAACTGGAAATAAACTCGGATATCATTCGATGCAGCTTCTCCTTTTTTTCTATTAATTTATGATTTAATTTAATT